CAAACCATATCAGATTAAACACAACAATAATATGTTTAAAACATCATGCATGCCAAGTTATTTTCAGTTCTGCAGGATTCTTATCTTAGGGAGGCCCAGTGTCCCTAAGATAATTTGCTTACCTGCTTTTGATACAAATGATTGAAAAGGAGCTGAAATAATCTAAAGAAAGGTAAAATCATTCTCGGGGCTTTTGGTAGTGATCTTAATGGATGAGAATCTCAGGGACCTGCACTCAAGGTGTCCTGCTGGCATTCTTGACAACCACTAAAGGATTCTCTGCAGTCCTAAATTCACTCCAATTGGATTTATCATTGTTCCTTTCTTCGACTGCTCTCTCTATTCTGTTTGGCCTGCTAGGCAAATACACTGGTCTGACTCAGCCACTAACATTCTGCTCTAACAAGATGAAAGATTGTTTAGTTCAGTGTTAATACCCACTGGGGGATCCATAGAGTCTCTCATCTTCCAGCATACAAAGATTCTGTCTTGACCTTTGGAGTCCTTAAATGTTCTTGATCTAAAATTACTGGGGTTTTAAAAACCGCTTTTGAATTATGGCTGTCATTGTGATTAAAAAAAAAAAAAAATCCAACAGAGGTCCTATGAAGGCCACTGGCAAAAGTCCTTGGTGGAGAAACTGCCATGTCCAAATCCTAGTGGGCTTGTTGCAGCCAGGGTAAAATGGGAACTATGATTCCAGCTGTCCCATTTGCAGGGGTTTTTGGTATATGGTTCCACAGTATGTTCATTCTTTGTCCGTACCAAAGCAGTTGATTGTAATGGAGTTGCGTGTAGGAGGTCACCAGTGGCCGTCAGTTCTGAGAGGCCTGTGCCTACAGAGAAGGAGATCTACAAAATCTAAGGCCTTTTAGGATCCATACCCCAGAATCATAAATTTGCACTTTTAGTTTATTAATCATATGCAGATTAATTAGATGAGATGAGATCTAGCAAAAGTCCTCATGAATTAAAACAAAAGCACATTCACTATCTTTGGGCAGGGCATGTGTGCATCAAAATGAATAGTTAGTTACAGATGCGGCCACTTGCAATTATTGCATTTAATTCATTTTGAAACATACTTCCCAGCTGAAAGATAAAGCCTATAGTTGGTTCGTATATTTTTAGGAAATACGGAATGATGAAGTAGCAATGGAGAAAAGCAGAGGAAATGTGTCAGGGGAAAAATTAGCTGGCTTATTCAAGTCTTTAACAGAAGGATGGTCAGCCATTTAGAAGACATTGGGGGGAAGAAGGTAGAGGACCACAGAATGGATGAGGCCATGTCACATGTGGGGGTAAAAGTGGGTTTGGGGTGGGAACATGGTGGGACTTTCTTTGATTTTATCTCTGTGGTACCTCCTTTTAAGGCTGATAAAATAGTTTTCATCAGTTTCCAACATCAAAATAGCAGGAAATTTTGCTTTCAGTTTTCAGCAGGTATCACCAGAGAACTGTGAGAGAGACAAAAACAAGGTGACCAACATTTGCTCTGTCACAGGGTTGCTCAACCTTGGCCACTTTAAGATGGGTGGACTTCTACTCCCAGAATTCCCCAGCCAGCAATTCTGAGAGTAGAAGTCCACCCGTCTTAAAGTGGCCAAGGTTGAGAAACATTGCTCTATCAGTTTTAGATTGGGGAGGATTAGAAACAAGGAACTGCATCCAATGTCTTTTATTGGCAATGGGACAGTTGTTTTTTAGAAAATTATCATATTGTGATGTCATTAAATTGAACAGACTTTTTTGAAAAAAAATAATATAAGTATAGGATCGTACAGGGAAGTGACGATTTACACTATAGCTAATTTGATGATCTTTAAAGAATGCTGTAATTCTATAATATTGTGTACAGAAATAATAAATGTATGGAAATAACTAATGTTATTTCTTGAATCATAACATGCTGCTAGATGTTAGTGATAATACAATGATATATTTTCTTGAAAATGGTTTTTAAAATCCTTTCTGATCACTATCAGTTTAGTAGCAACTAAGAAAGGAGAGCAGACTGAAAAGAATAATAGAAGATTGTGATATTAATATTATAGTTACCATGCTATAATTCTGGCTTATTTGCCTGATGTAGCAGTTGATCTTAATTTAACTGAAAAAGCATTAGAGCTAAAAGTCAAATTAAAACAAATATAGGCTCATGACACCCTACCCAAAGTTTACAGTGAATGTTTGGCAAGTTGTGATCATTTTTTAAAATGTTGCTGACCACATCTTTTCAAAAGATGAAGGAGTAGCATTGAAAGTATATGCACTTGCAGAGATTATGCTCCTGTCTTTATGGGGAAAAAAAAAAGTTACAATTTTTAATGGTCTGAGGAAAAGATGGAGAAGCTACATTGGAACATTGGGTTTATTTATTTAATGCACTGATATCCTGTCTTTGAAGTGACAGCTGAAGGGTTTCCCCAATCCAAATCTAATACCGTAATTGTTTATGTAAACTTTACTATGAAAAAGAAGCTGGTTCTGAGTTCGAGAGCTGTTTGCCCCCAAGATCTTTTAAGTAGCATCTCTTTGGCTCCTATAGAATTTCTTCTCATCTCACCTTGCCAAACCTTCCACCAGTAGGGGGAGCTCTAGGGAATGAGTTCTCTCCCTCCAGGAGCGGCCAATCAAAGAACGTTCCGCATCTAATGATGAATTTTTTCACAGCGTTCATTTATATTATAAGGAAACAATACACAGGCATATGAACAGTAACACACATGTGCAAGAGCAACTTTAACAGTAACTTTAATAGTAGCCTAAAGTATGAAATTGTATTAAGGCATGAGGTACGTTTTTAAAATTCCATACAGGTAGTCCTCTCTTAACAACAGCCCTGTTTAGCAACTGTTTGAAGTTACGACGGTGCTGAAAAAGTAACTTTACAACCAGTGCTTGCACTTACAACCATTGCAGCATCCTCACAGTCATAGGATCAAGATTCGGGCAGCCAGCAGGCATTTACAACTGTCACAGCATCCCATGGTCACATGATTGCCATTTGCACACTTCACAGCTGGCTTCCACAAGCAGAATCAATGGAGAAGCTGGCATGAAATCACAAGTTGCAGCCATGTGATGTCTCACTTAACGACCGTGGCAGAAGTGACGTAAGTCCATCGCAGTCACATGATGTCACGCATAATGACTGCATCACTTAGCAATAGAGTTGCCGGTTCCAATTGTGTTTGTTAAGCGAGGACTACCTGTACTAATTCTCTCCCCCCACCACTTTGCAAATATCCTCCTTCTAATTTATTCTGGCAAAAGCCTCATGTAGTAGTTCTCTCATTCTGCCAGACTGGACCTCCAATCTGATTCTCTTGGCTTCTCCTCCTCTTGGTCCTCCAAATGACTCCACTCCCAACCAAATCCACCTTACAGGAGAAACTCCAAGCTCTTCTAGCTCTACATTGGCCAGGCTACCAAGAGGGGCTCTGGATGACTTTGGATAAGGAGTCATTCCATTATCTCTTGGCTACGTGTAGTCTTTCTGCCAGCAGATAGAGGGGCTATTTTCAAATACTTTTCCTTTCTTCTTTCCTTCTCTCCCCATACCCACACTCCACTGATTATGTGCCATCAAGTCAATGTTGACTCCTAGCAACCATATAGATAGGTTTTCTCCATGATGATCTCTTCCTAACCTCGTTCTTCAGCTCTTCCAATGGTGCACTCATCACCACTTAACTAAGTGCATCCACCTTGCTGCTGGCTGTCCTCTTCTTCTCTCTCCTTCCACCTTTCCCAGCATTAGAGAGCCTTCTCCAGAGAGCTGGGTCTTCACTTAAGGTGTCAAAAGTAGATCATTCGAACTTGGTCATTGGTGCCTCAAGCAAGAACTCTGGGTTGATCTGTTTGATGACTGTCCACAGTATGCTTAGAATTCTCAGCCATACCCAATGTTGGGGTATTATATATATTTCTGAGGTAGCTCTGTCTCTGACCCTTCCAAAACTAGCTTCCTTCTCCATTTTATGTCCCTCAGGCATGAAAACCATTCCTATCCCTTCCCCAAATCTGTGCCTCTGTTCTTTTACCTCCCCATCTTAGAGGATTCAATTCCCTACAATTAGCAACTGTAACCTTTCTTGTCTGCACCAGTTTTACTGCACACCACTGGCTTACATTCAGAATATTACCTACACCTTTTTTTAAAAAAAATCTAGCCTTTTAAGAGTTTGGAAAAATGCACAGGCTTTGCCTACCTTTATGTTTTGGTTGGTCCTTTCAAAAATTATGGATTTGAGAACTGAACATTAAGCTTGTAATCAGTAACTATCGATTGGTTCATATTCTTCCACAAGGAGAAAAACTAGATTACCAACTATGGATTTTGAATTTTACTCTCAAACTTCTAATCAGTAATTTTCCAACTGGTTCATATTTCTAATTTGCTAAATGAAAGAGTGATAGTGTAATGGTCTTCTGTACAGAAAGACTTTAAAAAAAAAAGCTTTTCCATGCCAAATTGGGCATATGAAAAGTAAGAAAATTTTCAGGGGTTCCAGTGCTGAGTGTCACTTCAGCTAGACTTTGTCATCACCATGGGGATTGTAACAGCTAATAAATGCCTGATTTTTTTTCTGTCCAATTGGATTATTGGACAATAAAGCCAATCTCTCAGATGACATGCTTTACCAAGAGGTGAGAAAAAGGGATATTCCAACTACATATAGTATTGAGCGGTCACACAAGCATGACCTACGTTCAGGTCAGCTTTACCCCATGAAGATAGGTTAGCTCCAGAGAGTGAGATAGAATAGTTGGAGAGAGAAGGATCAGCTATTTTCAGTCTAGTAACACTTATCTAAGTGTTCTTCTTTTGAGCATCACCAGCCCAATTTAAGATCAAGCAGAGAGTTGGCCCAGGGTTATCATGTTCAGAATTGCACTATGACTTCCACTTGAAAAGAAACCAGCTTCTTCTCACAAATAAAAGTTCTTTCTCATCTGTCTTTAAAAATAATGATGGTTGGCATTTCCCCTTACAGGTTTTATTGGTTGGTCAATCTAAGTTCAGCTGTTGTCTTTGTCAGCATTTCTTATATCCAGCAGTCGGTGGCCCAAAACCTAGGCTTTCTTATTCCGTTTGTTTCAGTCCTTATGGGACTGATCACAATTCACATGGCACGTAGCGAAATGATTTATCAGCCTCCAAAAGGTAAGCAATTACATTACATGGATAATTAAATCACTTCTTTAAATCAAGTGGGGGAACATCCTAGGTTTTAAAATTGGCCATTTAAAATTATCTAATTTGGACTCTCCAGCACCTAAAGCTTCACATATAGGCCACGGTTATACTGCCTTTGACTAAGGTATGCCTTGAAATCTGATGAACTAAAAGTAAATAGGAAAAAACTGGATGTTCTCATTGCTAAGCTCCTAAGACTGTCATATTCTTTATTACAAGGATAGAAAATCTGTGCCAGGCAAAACTCCCAGAATTTCTCACTGTTGGCCTAGCTGGCTGAGATTTCTAGATATTTAGAATTGGAGGACCTCAGATTTATTCTAGAAAAAAAAAAAAAAGAATAAAAATCCCCCAGATCAAACTCAGCTGAGACATCCATGCAATTTCTGGGGACAGCAGCATTGTGGAAGTCGTTTGCCACTGCTTTCTTCTATGATGTTTTTTCAACATCTCACCCTAGTCTACAGACTTGAAATGTGATCTCCCATTCAAGTACTAACCAGGTCTGACCCTGCTTGGGGGGTGGGGTGCACCTTCAAATCAGTCTTGATTCTGGGTGACTGCCTAGACATGCTGCCCAGGGAATTCTGAGAGTGGAAGTCCACATGTCTTCAAATTGCCAAGTTTGAGAAACACTGGTCTAAGGCAATCTTCAGTTTCAAAGACTTGAAACTGAAGACAGACAAGAGCAAGCCCTTCTAATTTGGCCTACTAGACATATTTGCAATCTTGAGACTGTTTTGGGATTGCTCTTGAAAAATGGCGGTTAGGGGACTGGCCCATTCACAAAATGGCTGCTGTAGGGTGTCATAAGCAATGTGGGTGTAGAGGGGATGCCTTTAAGTCAGTCTTGACTCCTGTGACTGCATGGACCTGAGAGCATTTTCTGAAGTGGTATGCCAATGCCACCTTCTTCCTAGGACTGGGAGAGAGGAACTGGCCCGAAGTCACTCAGCTGGCTTGGTGCCTGAGGCAGGACTAGAACTCATAGTCTCCTGGTTTTTAGTCCAATACCTTAACCTCTAGACCAAGCCACCATTGAACATTGGTTCCTCCTTCCTCAGGTGCCTGATCGTTATTATTTTGCAGATAGCACCAGTCTTAGGGTCTGAACTTTCCTTTCAATGATTCAGTGAATTAGGGTGCCATGGATCCCATTTTACAGATAATGAATTAAGGCTGAATTTTATTGTTACACAGTGTCTAGTTAACATAGGAAATTCCTAAATTAATAATATTCTTATTTTATGGAAGGACTTTCTTTAGAGTACTCTGTCTGGCTTCATGCATTAAACTAATCCCTATGAATGGGTTAGCAAATCACAGTTCCCCTGTTTCATATAACATGCACTGCCCAAGGAAATAAACTATATTATGACTTAAAATGATGGCCTAATTGAGGTAACTCGGGCTCAGACCATGGGTAATATTACCCTACAAATCCCATTTTAGCATAATCCAGTTTGTTACATAAACTCAGCAGCCATCAGGGTTATGACAGAAGTGTCGCTTGGGCTAAATTTTCCCAGATGTAAATCCAAACCTCCTCTGGATTGCCTTCCCAGTGGATTTTTGATATGATGACTGTTCCTTGGGGATTCTTTTTGTCTCTTTTCAGATCCCTTTTGACCATTTTCCAAGCAGGGCTTCTCCTGCTTCTAAACAGCTAAATTTATAACCTTGTTTTAGCTTCTTCCAATAAGATGAGTTGGCTAGAATTCTCTCTCAAGCCAATAATTCAAGTCCATAGGTGACCTTAAAGAAATTACTGAGTTCTATTTTAAAGAAGCTTTTTTTTTTTTCATATGTGAGCCAAGCATATGTCAAGCAAGGATTTCATTTGCATGTCTTTGTTCAGCTATAATTTTGACAATTGGCAGTTGACCAAGGATTGAAGTGGGGATGGGGGGAATCATCTAGAGAGCTATATAGCCTTTTAAACTACTGTAATTAAGTAGCATAGATTAACTCAAGGTCAGAGGAGAACACTGGAGCCAAGATTTAAAGGAGAAAAGGTAGAAAGGTGGGAAAGGAATATTGCTTATAAAACATACTTTAGTCTGTTCCTGTAGTTTTGTTCCAAAATTCCAGTATGTATTATGTGTAGGTCTGGAGGTGATCACAGTAATGTCCTTATTATGCCCCAGCAAAGACCAAAGTATGCATGGAGCATTAGTGAAAACGGGATTCCCCCTTCACCAGACAGGACTGTACATGTTTGCAATCATTTTTCTGCAGTTTCCTTTTCAGCTGAAATGAATGGAAAAGTTGTAATAGGTATAGGCCGATGTGGCACCTGAGCATCAAAGGAAACTCTCTCCCAAGGTGCAAAATATCAGGCTCCATAGCAGTGTGCATTTTCCAGAAGCCTTGAGTTTGTTTCATTGCAAATTGATCTAATTTTCACTTCACAAATAAATGTCATAACCCAGCCTGAGATTTTCCTTCAACATTCCTACTTTGTCAGATTGTTTGGCACAGATCTCTGATTCAGGGACATGCCTTTAAAATTTGGATATTTAGGGAAAGTGCATAAAAGAATGCATATTTCTGAGAAGAGTATGCAAAAGGACATAGTATTAGGGGAAATGGCATGCAAAAATTGTATTTCTTGGACAATTTGCATGTATTACAGAAATTAAAAAACGCACCCTCAAAAGGATGGGGTGAAATAAATTTAAGATGGTGAAAGTAAGAAATGGAAAGAACGTTAATTTGACAGATATGTGGATCTTTAGCCACAAAGGTTGTTGGACAGCATAAGGAACCAGAGGCAACCCTGGCCTGGAATTCTCCCAATTCTTACCTGGAATCAGGTGACCTAGGAAAATCAATCCCAGGACACTGCCTGATGGGTTGTTGCTTGTTTACGTACTTGGTCTACCACTCTCATTATGTGCAGTATCATTGAGAATCCCTTACTTCAATTACCAACTCTTTCCTCTTGCTGTTTGTCTCCTATACTATATACTTTAGGCACTCTGTTGAGTTCCTCTCTTATGCTTTCAGACATAGATAGGCATTGATTACGACTTGCTTTCCAGACCCAGAGATGCTCGCTATGGTGAATAAACCATTATTTAATTTAGTGCCAAACTACTTAAAGGGCTGCCTACCACATTAAGTCCTGATCATCAGCGTTCCCCATCAGTGGTCTGGAAATCTTGGCTGGACCAGAAAGATCTTATAGCTGGTCTTTAGTGTAGGTACATATCCAAAAATGATCTAAATCATGGGAAGTCAACAGATCTTGGCATTCTCACCCAAAAACACCCAAGAAGTTTGAGAGGAATTCAAAAATTCAACAATTTTCATTCCTTTTTTGAAAATTAATGTCGGACTCCATTTGTGAAGGCCATCTAGAGCTACCATAATGCCTACAGATGTTGTAATACTGATCCTTCACTTAGGAGATGGTCCTCAGCTTTCAATGATGCAACTGTCAACAGTAAGAAAAAGTTGGGTATTTTTGCAGATCTGTCATGGATGTGATTAACATCAGCATCTTACTGTTTTTTCTGTGGTGAAGCACAGTCTACAAACAACTCCTGCTGGAACTAAGGGTGTCCATTCTATGGTACATTTAATAAAATGTATGTCTTCTGCCCCGGGTATTAATGCTTTAATCCTTTCAGTTGTTAGATTGGATTTTGTTGTGGAAAGATATTTCTAAGCAACCAGAGCTACAAACCTGACCTAGCTTCTTCACCAGTTGAAATCTGCCAAAGCTTTCAGATAAGGAGTGCCAGATACTGTAGCAGGCAGATTCAGTCTTGTAAAGTCTGCACTGCAGATTATTAACCTCTCAGTCTTGTTCTTAGGTAGTTGCCTGTTGACTGTCTGTGGCATAGTCATAAATGCATTGAAGGTGTGCTGCGTACAATGCCGCTACTTCAGTGGGAACGTAACAAACTGGCTAGACCATGCAAAGGAAAACTATGGAGGCCACTACACTGAAACACAAGTGGAAAACACAAAATTGCTCATCCGTCTTTTTCCTTTATTTGCCTTTCAAATCCTCTATAGATTGTGTGTTATGCAGGTGAGTAAGTTCTTCTTTTGTTTTAAATTAGGTTGGTTCAGACACAAAATGGAATCTTCTTTTGTGTGTTCACATTCATCTGTAAAACTCATGGTTTCTTGTTAGAATATGGATATGTCCATGTTATGAAAAACTGGAAGAACACAAAGGCCTAGATAACAGGAAGGGAAAACTGAATAATGAAGTTCTATCACTTTGGTAACAACTGGATGAAGCAAGGCTCAGATATGTTTCAAATGCATTTCACAGTCCACCATATTAGAACCCATTAATGTGCCTGATGCAGAGAGGACAAGCAAAATTATTATGGGATTACCGTAGCTCCCTTTAGAAAGGGCCACAACAGTGGGGGCCTTTTAGCTTAGAGTGAAGGAAGGAGCAGGAGACATGACTGATAGAGTCTTATTTGTCATGAAAAATGTGGACAGGAAGAACTTTTTCTCTCTTACTCGCAGTGATAGAATTTTAATTATTTATTTATTGATTCAACTTTGTTATAGCCACCCAATTCCAACAGAATTGGAGCTGAATGAATGCAAGGTCATCTGCTGGGAAAAATTGGGCCTGATGAAGTACTTCACACCATGTGTAATTAACCTGCGGAATGTGTTGGCCATATATGTGAGAACGGTCACCCGGGTAGATGGGTTTGAAAAGGGACAAAGCATTTATGGAGGAGAGGTCTGTCTCTCCTCCTGATGGCTATAAATGTTGTTCATCCAGAATGAGAGGCAGCCTGCTTGGAATAGTGGCTGCTGAAGAGCAAGAGTGAAAGACAGCAATTACTGTCTAAGCTTCTTAAATGCATTTCGTTTGCTACTGCAGGACTGATAGTGTTAGACCAGGAAGGCCTTTGCTTTGATCTAGAAAGCCTCTTCTTCTGTTCTTAGGATGATCCAAGGAAGCTCTCTAGAAATATAGCTAAGTGGTGGAAACATTCAGGAACTTTATTGTATAGTTCCCTCTACAGCAGTCTTTTTCAAACTAGGCAACTTCAAGATGTGTGGACTTCAGCTCCCAGAATTCCCCAGCCAGCATGTTTGGGGGGAAAAAAACATGCTCTACAGGATAAAATGAACATTGGAAGAGGAATTGAAAGTGATCAAAGTAAACAAAAAAAAATCAAGAAGCAGGGAGTATTTTCTTATGGAGAAAAAGCTAAATTGTTTATAACACTTGAATTTCAGGAAAAATGACTTATCTGGGGTGGGTAGAAGTTAGATCAAGTGATGATTCACACTAGAACAGAAAGGTTTTCTGGCTCCCCTTCTCTCTCTCTCACAACCAAGTCATCTCCTTCTAAATTAGGCTGTTGCAATATCTGATTGGTAGAAATTAAAATATAGATTTGTACCTATACGTAAGCATTGTGTCAGCATGTGGCTCACTACGTGGAGGAAGTAATTGGCTCAAACCATCATTTTGCAACTGTTTTTGTTTGGCAGATCTCTGCATTCTAGTAAAAAAAGAAGATGCATCTTATCAGAGTGAAGTCTGTTTATACCTGGACTTTATAAACCAATTTTCTATCATACAAATGTACACAGATGAGAAGGAGATCTTTTCTCTCCTGCCCCTATCACTGGCGTTTCATGCCTTGTGATTAGTTGAGAACTGAGAAAAGATGGGCTCCAGGGGCATTGCTCCGGGTGGGGTGGTGTCAGGCCTAGCCCAAGGAACTCCTAGAAACAATGCCAATTCAGTCCAGCTATGTTTATTAGCTACACCCTCTAGATAGAATCTTCCCAGACTGAACCCCCAGCCCCCCAGTCAGGCAGCCACAAC